AAAGAGGGAGGGGCCTGAGGCCCAGGATCAGAGGTCATCACTCCTCATGTCCTCCTCCCATTGGTGTGCAGACACCCCCACCCCTGTGGTTCGTGTTGCCATGGCACCTGGGGGTCCTGCTCTGCTCCTCCTCCTCCTCCTCCTCACTGCCCTCCCCAGAGGTGAGAGTCCGCCTCCCCCAATGGCAAGGGTAGGGCCTGGCTGGAAGGCTGGAGGGGGTGGGGCCTGCATGGACCAGGGGGCAGGGCCTGGATGTGGGTGGGGCCAGGGCTGGCCCGCAAGGAGGAGCCCTTACCGTATTTACTGTAAATGAAGCCCCACCCAGTCCCAACCAGGCATTACCGTACTTACTTTAAACAACACCCCGCTCAATCCCTGCCAGGAGCCCGCAACCTGGCTCCTGTTCTCTTGTGGGGTGTTCCCAGGCCCTGGGTGGGGGCAGGACAACTTACTATAATTATCCTAAATGAATCCACATAATCCCTGCCAGGTGCCTGTGGTCTCCACCCTTCCCCCACTTCCCTTTGGGGGTTTCCCGGTCCGAGGCAGAGAGGGTGGGCAATTACCATAATTACTTTCATACTTCACCATAATTACTTGTATCTAATTACAATTACCATAATTCATTTGAACTGACCTTACTCTTACACAATCACAATTACCATAATTCACTTTTACCCTAATTACTTTTACACTGCATGCCTGCCAGTCCCAGGTGCCCCCAGGCTCCCCCTTTCCCTCCCCCACCAACTATGTGGTGTTCCCAGCCCCTGGGATGCAGGGTGGGGCGATGACTGTAATTACTCTAAAGAAAGTCCCACACGGTCTCTGCCAGGTGCCCCTCAGGTCTTCGTGGAGGAGCCGGACAACACAACGGTGCGGGCCGGGGGGGAGGCGGCACTGCGGTGTCGGGTGCATTCCCTGGCTGGACTGGCCCAGTGGGCCAAGGATGGGCTCCTGCTGGGGCCCAGCCGGAGCCTCCCCGGCTTCCCCCGCTACAGCTTGACTGGTGACGCCAGCAAAGGTGGGGCCTGGACGCCTGGGTCCTTGGGGAGAGGAGGGGAGGGGGTCTGGGACCCCAGACACCTGATTCTCTCCTTACGCTGGGATGGGGAGGGCTGGGGGCCCAGGCTCCTGGGTTCTCTGGGGCTGACGGGGTGCGCCACAGGGGAGCTCCACCTGCGTATCGTGGGGGCGCGGCTGGAGGACGATGGGCGCTACGAGTGCCAGGCCGGGCCGGGTCCCGACGGCCACGCATGGGTGTCCCGGCCCGCCCTGCTCAC